CCCCAAAACCCCAAAACCCCAAAACCCCAAACTTTAAATGGTGAAGTGAAACACTATTATTTATTTACCTTAACAATATGAAATTGCTAGACGGCATTCTTAAGTACACAAACCAAAATCATAAAGACTCTTCTCGTGCAAGGAGTATGTGCTCTAGAGTATATTCAACAAGCACAATTAATTCTAAAACAGGGGTTGTGGTTACAAAGTTAAACCCCCCTTCTCTCTCCAGACTTAAGAGTACTACCTTTTTGTAAAGCATAGGATATCTGATCACCAAGAATGAGAAATAGCTCCTGTGAGAGTTCAAATTTAAGCCTTGAAACACAGACTTTACCAAAGTATTGCCTTAAAGTTTCTAAATTGCCAAATAAGAGAAGAGTAAGTTAAAATCCTAAGTATCAGCTCTCAATGGAATGAAACCCTTCCTTGAATTGTGACAAAAAAGTTGAATTCTTTCTCAGAAGAAGCCAGACAACAAATATCCCTCCAGCCAAATCGGACAAACCCTCTCGTCTGTCCATGTTTAACAGTGTAATTTTCCATATGATAATTTTAAAACCTTTGTTGTTCTTAAGAGTTTTACTGCAAGACTTGAGCCATCTAGAACCTAGAAATATCTTAAATATATATGAAAACTTTCCATTTCCCTTGCACTCAGAGTCATTATAGCATCTAAAAAGAAGAACGAAATTACAACCCAAGAAGGTACAATTCTATTCAAATTTTAGGTGTCTCTAAATAATCAAATTGAAAAACTCAGTAATTACGTGAAAATTAGCAAGAGACTTATCCGTAAATAAAGTAGAACTCCTTAACAATCCTCAGGCTTATAATAGGATCGAGCAAAACATCTTATCACTCAATGGTCTAAACTCTGGAAATACTTATTTTGAGACCTTTAAAGCTTCACTTGAGAGATTCCGCAGAGAAGAAAATACTAGTGTATGTATGACCGAGTCATTGATAGGTGAAACTGACTAGAAAAACCTTAAAAACAATGCAATTGAACTCCAAAAACTACCCAGGAAGAAATATCAGCTTAAAATAATGTGTACACGTAAGTCCCTAAGCAAGGCATAAACCTATACCATAGCTTACCCACTGACTTCAGAACAAAATTCCAAAAAATATGACCAAAATCCCACCTCAACTCTCCTCCTCCTGACCTAATACCCTTCATCAGCTTAAAACTAAACAAAACAGTCCTAACCAAACGTTAGTCTTCCTTCTCACCCTCTTCTTACAGAACCCCATCCAAACCCCCCTTCCCAGAACCCCTCTCCCACCTCTAATCCCTTCACAACCCCCTAAAATCCCCCAAATTTCTAAAATTTCTTCACAAATTCCTCCTCCAGTTCCAAAACAGTTCAAAAATATTCAATATTTGTGTGTAAATTTGGGGTTTTGGGGTTTTGGGGTTTTGGGGTTTTGGGGTTTTGGGGTTTTGGGG